GAGCCCCTATCACTCACCATGCACAAAACTTATCTCAAAGTGGATCAAGGACCTAGAAATTAGACCAGAGACATTACCTAATAAAAGAAAAAGTAGGCTCAAATCTTCATCATCTTGGATTAGGCCCTCATTTACTTAACAAGACTCCTAAAGCACAAGAAGTAAAATCAAGAATAAATAAATGGGATGAATTAAAACTGAAAAGCATTTTCTCAGAAAGAAAAAAATCAATGAGGTGAATAGAGCACCTACAGAAAGGGAGCAAATTTTTACCACGCACACATCAGATGGAGCACTAATCTTCAGGATATATAAAGAACTCAAAAAACTTCAAAAAAGCAAATAATCCAAACAATAAATGGGTTAAGGAACTTAACAGATGCTTCACAGGAGATAATATACAATCAGTCAACAAATATATGAAGAAAATGTTCAACACATATAGCAATTAAAGAAATGCAAATAAAAAGTATTCTAAGATTTTAACTCACTTCAGTCAGAATAACAGTTATTAAGAATACAAGCAACAATAATTGTTGGTGAGAATGTGGGGGAAAAGGTGTACTTGTACATTGCTGATAAGACTGAAAATTGGTGCAACCAATCTGGAAAGAAGTTTAGAGATTTCTTGGAAAACTTGGAATGAAACCACCATTTTACCCAGCTATCCCACTCCTTCTTTTGTACTCAAAAGACTTAAAAACAGCATACTACTGTGACATCCCCACATCAATGTTTATAGTAGCACAATTCACAGTAGCTAAATTGTGGAACCAATCTAGATACCCTTCAATACATGAAAGGATAAGATACTGGTATATATACATAATGGAATATTATTCAACATTAAAAGAGAATAAAATCATAGCATTTGCATGTTAATAAATGGAATTGGAGAATATCATGCTAAGTGAATTTAGCCAATTCCAGAAAACCGAAGGCTGAATGTTTTCTCTGATAAGTGGATGTTTATCCATAGTGGGGACCAGGGAGAGCATGGGAGAAATGAAGAAACTTTGCATATGGCAAAGGGAAGAAGAGACAGGGTGATGCATGAGGTATAAAAGATTGTGTGATGAGATGGGCATCATTACCTTAGGTACATTTATGAAAACATGAATGGTGTGAGGCTATTTTGTGTACAACCAGAGAAATGAAAAATTGTACTTCATATGTGCACTATAAATTGAAATGCATTCTGCTGTCATTATTACAAATTAGAACAAATACTTTTTTTAAAAAAACAGAATTCACTTAGAACTGGTCAACATGGGACAAGGTGACCTAGAATTGTCATGTCAGTGTGAACTTCCAAGTCTGATATCAGGTGCTGTCCATAAACCATCAAGTGATGGACCAGATATTTTTTGGAAACTTCTCTGAGATATCCAATAAAACTGGAGTGCAAGATAGGCATGTTGTCCCTCTCCTGTGTCAGAGGACCTACTCTCTCCCTTGAGAGTTTCCCCTTTCCTATCCCTTCAATAATGTCATTCTGCTTACTCTGAGTGACATATCTAAAATCTTCCTGACTTGATCACAAGAATTCAGTTTGAAGGGGGTTCTTCATGTTGACCCAGTTTATTGGAAGGCCCAAGCTCTATAATAGTACTTGCTGTGAAGATATTAGATCACACACACCTAAAGCCAGATAGATACCGATTTCTGCTGGGAGTCTTAGTCTCAGGGGACTCCCAAGAATTGTACATGGGACTGGGTAACCCATTACCTACAATTCTTATACACTCTGCACTCTTGAATATGGCCTTTCTACATTCAGTCCCCAATTGTAGTCATGCCCACCTATTTAGATTCCTGACTCATTTCAACTCATCCTTTAACATCTTTGCTGACCTTTAGAGAGTTCAAAGATGAACTTTTGAAACAGTCAGTTTTTTCTATCTTCCTTCAAAACTGGCTTTGAATAAAAACAATTTTCCTACCAATTTGATTCTGAATATTTCTGGGGCATACTGGACATGTTACAGCCTGGGTTTGTCCCCTAGCCTGACATTGGTTCCATTGGTAATAGGAGTCCTTTAGTGTGGTTACCTCTTTATAATAAGCCCTGTGCTGGGTGGATAGCCTAGCTTCAACACATCACGTCAGCATAATCAAAATGTTAATTTCAACTTCCAATGCCTCTTTGAAAGGAAAGATGCCATAAGTAACAGTGGTAGCGTAAGAGTTACCCATATATCAACACACATTATATATGCAATTAAAATGATCTCTATAACTCTATTAACCCAGGAGGAATGTGTGCAACAAGTAATACAGAATAAGCTCCAAATATTACATGGTAACAATTATAGACTCAATTGAATTTAAAGATGGGATAAGAAAGAAGAACGAGAAAAGAAGAAAGAAAGTATGGAGAAGGGATGGAAGACAAGAGTTAAAATGGGGAGAGTATAATGGGTGCAGGATGGGGTTCAAGTAAAGATTGGCAAGAAGAAAAAAATTGTGTATGAGAGATTATGTTGTGTATAGGTATATGTGTAAAGGTAAAGCACTAATTTTCATAAAAGTGTTTGGATTGCTCTTTTGAAGTTTTTGAAATGAGCATTTTGAATTCAGTGTTTTAATTTTAGAAATTTCCAAATGTAAGGAAGAAGAATGACTTTATGACATTTCCCAGTAAATGGATTAATCTGGAAACAATCATAAGTGAAATAAGCCAATTTCCAAAAGCCAAAGATCAAATGCTTTCTCTAATATGGGGAAGCCAATCCAAAATAAAAGCAAGGGGGAAGACTAGATGTTCAGTACATTTCACACTGGGGATTAGAGGGAAAGCAAGGCAGAGGAGAAAAGGAAAGACATTGGATGGACCTGACATAATTTTCCATGTTCATATATGAAAACATCACAGTGAATCCCACCATCATGTATATACACTAAAATGGGATCCTAAGTAGAATGAGATATATTCCATGCTAGCATAATTACATAAAAATGGATTCTACTGTCATATATAACTAAAAAGAGCCAATAAAGCTTTAAAAAAATAAAATCTCTATTATATGGATTTTACACCCTTTGTAGTTTTCAGGACTGAGCTAACCTGCCAAACTTGTTAGGTTAGTCTGTATGCTGAATTTAGCTAGCTTCTTGCTTGGCCCCCTTGCTGAGGGGTAGCAGAGGGGTGAGAGAGTTTTCACTCTCCAAATGGTTTTGTTGTTCTGTCTGCAGGTGGGAATGTAGGTCTGCCAGGTCTCCTGACCAGCTCCTCCACTTGCTTTGTCTATAGACTGATGTGAATTAAATTACATCACTCTTTCCAAGAGTTACTGAACATGTGCTAGGAAAAGGTGTGTAGAAACGTCACTCTATCATCCAGCCTCTCGTAGGCTTGAAGATATGGGATTTTATGTTTCATCATAATCTATTCCAGTCCCCTCCCATCAGTCAAACTTTTTATTCAGAGATTATACTGTCAATTTCAAAGGGAAGTCCTCTTCTTTCTTCTCCACTCTGCAGACTGATTGGTCACTCTGAGTCTAACCCAGCACTGAATCTCATTCTCTCTTTTATGTTCAAATCAGCTCTCAGTATGGACACTCACAGATATTCAAAATACATGTGTACCAAGTAAAGGATAAAAAAGGAAAAAAAAAGAGGGAGAAAGAAAACAAATAAAACAGGAAATGCTATCTAAAAAAACAAGGATAAAATTCAGGAATTCCCAGTTGGGGAATCAGGAAGGATAATTAACAAGTTCCTTCATGAACATATATGAAAACATCACAATGAATCCCACCATCACATGTATATACACTAGAATGGGATCCTAAATAGAATGAGATATATTCCATGTTAGCATAATTACATCAAAATGGATGTAATATGTCAGGGCTTCCCTAATCCAAACACCTCTGCTGGAAGGCTCCAAGACCTTTTCGGGGAGTGGTGGTTCACTCTCCAGGCAGACACATCTAAAACATTCTCCTGAGTAAACACAGTAAGCTTTCCTGAATTTATTATCTGTTCTGATTATGGATATATTGGTCAGTGTCTGTTTTTCTTGAGCTAGGTGGTAGAAAGACTTTTGGCTTCTTGAGAAATGCTTCCCTTCTGCCACTGAGGGATTGCATTCCTGACTCTTCCACTGCCTTTATTAATTCTTTTTCTGTCCTGAAAACTACTCATTTTTGTTTACTCCTGGTTGTTAGTCACTGAGTTGCCTCCATGCTCTTTCTCCTCCTTCATCTATCTCAGTTTGCTACTTAAAAATCTTTAGGACCTGCTCTGACACTCTGGATTCTACTAATTTACCAATATCTAAAGCCCAATATGTTTGCAATAATTTTTTCTACACATTACAAAATAAGGCTTACATCAAGGGTAAGCTGAAAGACCCAGAACTTCATGTACAGATTCATTGATATTTTGTTTTCATGGTTCTTGTTTTAATAAATATAACTAGAGTAAGCATAGTTCATTTGAATTCCAAATAGTGTATTATATTCTAAAAAGTGAATCCATGCCTAAAACATTATTTGTTATTTATCTATGATATGAATATAATGGGATATCTTGCATTTTACCTCCTTAGTAAATACAGTATATAACAGTTAAAGAGAATTTCATACAAACAGTGAATAACTTTCAGTATATCACTTGCAAAGCTTGGGATAAAATTTTTCAAAAATATTTACTAAGGGGCTGGGGATATGGCTCAAGAGGTAGCATGCTTGCCTGGCATGTGTGCGGCCTGGGTTCGATCTACAGAACCACATAAAAACAAAGATGTTGTATCTCTTTAAAAAAAATAAACAAAAATATTTACTAGGTTAACATAAATTGAAAGATTATTCCATGTCCTCAATTTCTTCTGACCATCCTACTTGCCCTGCTTCTCAAATTGTACAAAGATACCTGTTCTGAGAGCACGTCCTCATGTGTAGAACCAAAAAGAAATAAATTTTTATGTCCTGATGCCATGTGCATTCTCCATCCCATGGTTTTAGAAGAGAAAGACAAAAGGGAGCTCATACCTTGAGGAAATAAATAAGAAGAATGCTGGTATAGACACAACCAGCTGGAGAGTATGCCAGTTTCGAATAGCAAAAGCCAGGCTTCCCAATATGATCTGCCCAAAACTAGCAGCACAGACTGCCATTGTTGTTCCCATAGCTTGATATTTGGGACTTGTCCATTCTACAACTGAAAAAAACATCACTGAATAATTACTTCAAGCAAAGATAGAATATTAAGGTCAAAGTCAAATATCAGTAAAATGTCCAAGAGTCAATGCTGACTTACTGAGAAGAATAGTATTTGTCAGGATGGTCGTGGTGGACATGCCAGCCAGGAGACGTAGTGAGCAGTAAACCAGGAAAGTGGGAACAAAGGCAGCACAGGTGTCAGCAATGGCCAGCTGGAGAAGACACCATGTCAGAAGTAACCTCCTCCCAAACCTATGGAAAAGGGAAAGATGAGATTGTGGGAACAATAACAACTGTGGTAAAAAATTAGCACAAAGAAAACACTTCACACCTATAAAATATCCATAAAGGACCAACAGCCGATATTCTCAAATCAACTCTCTTCTTTTAAAATAGATACCTTGTCCCCAAAACTATTTCTTCAATTTGTTACCAGTAGTTTAGCACCAATTCAAGCTATACAAGACATGCTGCAGTGTTAGAAATATTAATACCTCATAATATTTCTTGCACTGAGCCATACACTTATGATAGTGGAGAGTCAACATTTTATATAAAATATTAAAATCAGCGCTTGAGACTCTAGAACTGCACAGGTTATGGCTAACATGATGTAATAGGAACAGCTATGAAGCAGAACATCAACGTTGCTGATGGGTTGAGTAAGAGTCTCTATCTGGTGAGTTTGGATTTGTTGACCTTGAGAAACAAAACATATTTGTAAAAATATAACATGTATTTTCCACAGCAAAAGAACATACCAAAGTTGACCTTTTCTTAGGTTTGGGAGGGTGAGCATTGGATGGTAATCTGGTTGCCCATTCCCAAAAGAAGGCTCAGGAACACTGTTGTGGATCTCCACTGTGGAGCACTATGTAGCAATTAGAAATGTGAACTAAAAGTACAAATAGGAATATGTATGTATCCCAAAAACAGAGTGGTAAGTACACAATGGAGAGAAGGGCACAACACATTTAATTACATGTAAATTAAGTGCATAAACCCAACTGTCTCATTTTGTAAAATATGAATTTATAGATGCATAGGCAACATACTATAATGACCCTTATTGAGAAGAAAAGTTTGGGATGCTTCCATGTATTCTGAAGAAAAATCACCCAATATTCCATTGAAGATCCACTGTATGTGGAAAAAAAAAAAACCACTTTTCATTGCTTCGTTGAGACTTCACTCTTTTATTCTTCAACATTTTAAGGATAAAGTAGAATAGTGAAGTCCTTTGAGTTTTCCTACTGAGATTTTATTTTCATGATGCCCCTGTGCGACACTGACAATGTCTTTTTCCTACCTGCATACTCAAGCAGGCTGGATCCAATGTGGTGACATATCCACCTCTGTGTCCCCATTGTTAACAGTTTGTGATCTTTCAAACCCCATGTTGTGGCATCTTCTATCCAAACCCTCTGGTAAAACACCTCCAAATCTTTTAAAAACATCACTCAATCTTTAAAAAACATCACTCGCCACACTGAATGATATTTTACATTTGTGTTTGTAGATCCCTGGGAACAAAGGTACACCCAGGACAGTGTAATTTGTAATAATTTTTTCATATGCATAAATGATTCATAAGCTGATGATGGTACCCAGGGGTAGAGAGATCTGTGAACCAGAGACACTCACCTGTCTGACAAAGAGCCATATACAATGTTTCCAACCAACATTCCAGCCATGAAGAAGAATTTAGATACTGAATTCAATGACTGAGATTCACATACCAGGTCCCACTGGAAGACAAGGAAACCAGCATAAGAAAAACACCTTCACATGATGTGTAGTTTTCTTTATTTCAGGCCCCTGTCTTCTTTTTGTGGCTTCTGTTTTCAAAAACATTGCAATTATATCATCCTGTTCTCTGTGTAAAATAATTTTATCTAGGAAAACTGCCTTATACCTATGGGTTACATTAATTATTACTTTTAACCCATACTGAGAAGTTCTCAAATCTGGCCACAGACCACCATCATTCAAGGACCTTGAAGAATTTACTTAATGTTGAATATCACTGAACACTTTCCCACATGATTACTCTAAGATTTCAGTCAGGTATGTGGATTTTGATCATCTGACAATACATATTTAATCGGCAATCAAGACAGGGTATTACTGACTTAACATCACATTTTTAACAAGACACATGATTTACTTGCTTAAACTGTGATATTCACAAGAATCAAAGTGCCATGACAGTAGGTTCCTATTTGTTTATTATCATTACACTAAGTATGTGCCCTGAATTGCATAAAAATATCAGTAGTTTCTGAAAAAAGCAAAGAAGAACCAGCACCCACAAAGCAATTAAAGGCTGAAAGCATGTTCATTATTTTCACTGTTTCCACACACCCAGGTCAAATACTTATGAGTGGAAAATTAATCCTTTTACCTCAGTCACGGTGGTGGAGAGGAACAAGCTCCGGTCATATACCCAGCCATCCTTGCAGGGCTCCGTGTCCATCTCACTCATGTTTGAGAAGGTTCCATTCATATGAAGGAGCTGCCATTGTGGGTGGATGAAGCGATGACATTTGTCTGGCCTCAGGTTTGAGTCTAGTGGGATGGAGACCCTCAGGAGGGCTTCTTGGCTGAGGGTCTCAGTGTCATTGTCAGAGACAGTGGCATTATCGAGTATATGGACCCAGCAGCGATGACCAAGGATGACTGCAGTGAAATTCTCCAATAAAATATGAATGTGTGCCAGGGCATTGTAGGTAAGAAGAAAAGCCATCTGAATTATCTGGAACCTTCCCAGACCACCAACTTGATCCAGGAGGTCCTGAAAGGCCATGGTGGCTGAATGACCCTCACCAAATGAAAATAAAGTGGTTGTATCTAGATGAGTTCAAAGAACAAAGTGTTTTATCCTCTCTCACTGTGACACAGCAAAGGCTGTTGACCCTTACCTCACTTCCTTCTTAATTGTCCCCTCTTCACCTCTGAGGCAATTCCATGGAGCTAATATCCCTTAGTCATCCTCAGGTTATTTGAGTGGCTGTTTTCTTTCAATCACTGAGAGAAAAAGACTTTGCTGAGGTGCCTTCTGCAATTAAATATGTTAATGATCTACTTTGTGAAGATTCTTGTTGTGGGCAATGAATGTAGTTAATATTGGACATTGATCTGCAAATACTCTGAAAACAAACCAGAGTAACTCTGCTACTTGCTTTGTGATTTTTTTAGAGAACATGTAGTTTGCCTATTCATTATCTGTTTGATTTTTCTAGGAGACATGGAGAGAGGAAATTTTTGGATTGTTTAGTACTAATTATTGATTGACAGAGGTTGTAGAAATCATCCCAAGTTAAATTAATGCAGTGAGGTGTTATGGTTTGGATGCAAGATACCCCAGAAAAGCTCACATGTTAGGCAATGAAGGAACGTTCAGAGGGGCTGTGATGAGTTTATGAGTGCTCTTACCTCACCAGTGGGTTCAATTATTTGATGGATTAATAATGAATGGCTATTGGGTGGTAACTTAGAGTGTGGATGGAAGAAGCAGATCACTGGGGGCATTCATTTCAAACAGAAGTTTTGAGAGCTGACATTTCTGTAGAACTTTATGGGAAGCATTCAACTGTCAGCCTCTTCCACAATGATCCCTGTTGCATGGGCTCTCTCTCATCCAGCAAGGAGGTTCACAAAACAGGGTAAGGAGAGTGTGGCTGCAAAATCACTAATCAAGATCTCCAGAGACTAAGCAGGAAGCAGGTCTGATTTTATTGTGCAGTTGCCATGTATATATACTTAGGCAGTAGCCAAACAGAATACAGGCAGTAACCAATGTAATTTCTGCTAACCATCCTTGCAGCGACTAATCAAGGAGTGGGCCATGGAGTAAATGCAAGGAAGGCAACTCATAGCCTCATGCCCAGGGCTGTACTTATGGGCTAAGAAGCCTGCCACTCACCTGCCTAGCTCCAGGGGAGTGGCCTGACACTCACATGCCCTTAACGTATGCCATGTATGCAGTACTCCATGTACTTGTCCCCATATCTCCCCCTTCTGGCTTTTACATGGTTACATAAGCATCTCAAAACAAAAGAAAGAAAAATCACTATTATAAACAGTAGGGCCAGTAATAGCATTATAAGGATTAGTTGATTGACTATAAAGTTTTTCCAATATTTAGTCAATCCCTGGAAAAAGGAAGCGTTTGTGAAGATAGGCAACTTATTTTCATTGATTTTGACAATCGCCTTAATAAGGTCATACATAGTCATAAATAGTTTGTATCCCATGTACCTTTAATATACTGAGAAAAATTAGATAAGTGTAAGGTTACATTTTCAGATACAGCATATTGGGTGACACAAATAGTATGGAATTCAAGGTCACAAGTGAGTCTTTGCAACATAAACAGAATATCTAGTTGATTCTGGTGGAGATCTAGTTCTTGCTGAATGTCTGAAATAGTAGCTCAGGATAGTTTTGAATGGCAAAAGCTTCTGCCATGGAAATAGACAAATTGTCTACAGTCTGGGCAATCTGGATACTCTGAGTAAGTGAAGAATGGCAGTGGCTGTGGTGGTAATAGTGGCTACCAGGGCAATAATTCCAGTGATGATGAAGCTAATTGCACACCTTGTCCAGTGTTGGATCTCATTCAGAAGATTTTTCATCTCCATGTCCCATGGACTCTTCCACTCTCTGGACAGGTTCATTGGAATCCAGATTGCTGGGGACACTCTGAGGATAAATATATGTTTAGCTTTTATATCAGGGATTAGACAATTTGTGAGCCAGCAGGATACACAAGGGATCTCTGTATGAGTGATATTTATGCCTTCAGTATCATTGATTATCAGCATGGCAAAGGGTGGCATAACCCAAGCATGTGCGTAGTGAGTATGGGTATAATTTGGCATAAAGGCAAATCCATGGTCAGGGTCTGAACTCAATATAGACTCATTCATCCAGCCAACTCGTAGCAATATTAGCATGATATTCCTCACATCATCTGATTCCCTGCCTAACATTTAGTAACAGCTTGTCCAGTGTAGCAGGTACTGCAGCAGCCATATGATTTTGGGGCACAACAGTTACATTCCCAGGAGCTGCGACTGTCCAGGTGCAATAGATGTTCTTCCCTGGAGAAATTCCTCTTATCAAGGAGATAAGATGTGGCAGTGACACATTGATTCCATGGGATGCTATCATTATCCAAGGGGGCTTTTCCAAAAAGCATTGTTGGGCATGTTGGCAGCAAGGGTTTCTTGAATTTTCCAAGGGTAGTCTCTGGCTATAGATAGCATTAACTAGAACTCTAACATCAGTGAGAGACAGCCCAACATATGACTTGTTATAGTTATCTACAATAGTTTCATGGGCAAGAGCAAAACAGAGAGGACTGTCCTGATGGTAGGTCTCATTATCAACTATGGAGAAACAAATGGGCAGAATAGGTATGGAAATGATGGTATTCCAGGGTATGGTTACCTCCTGGGTTGATAATTCAGGATCAATAAGGTTGGAATTATTGGAGAAGAGCTTGGGTAGGGCTCCTTCCCAACTGGCCACCACAAAAAGTGGTGGCTTAGTGACCAAAGCCCAATTTACCTGATGGGAGGCTTCAATGTTAGCAGTGAGCATTGCACACACTAGGACCATCATCATAGGTGCAGGGATGGGGAACAAATCTGGTGGCTTAGTCAACAAGACCTTTAAGGTCACTCCAGGGTATTTTATGTGAGGTCCATTTGCATTATTGAGTTATTTGCTTGTGAGATTTCTTCTCCAGAGTTAGTTCCTTCATCTTCTTGGTTGGTGGTTCTGGGTATTCAGGGCTTGATTTTCTGGAAGACACCCAGATGGGGTGAAGCTCCTGTTAACATATGTAAACCCTCCATGATTAGGAGGGGCCTCGAACCATCCCATACATTTGTTATGGGAGCCTTCCATGAGACCATAGGTAGATGGGAGGGCCCTGTGAGGAGGGCCCAATGCTATGTGCTGCTAAATTTCTACAAAAAAGAAAGAAAATTTAAAGCAAATAAGGTTTTGTTCAAGAAATCATTCAGGGAATTGGTATAGTCCCCTCCCCCTCTATTTTGTAGTATGGTTTTTAAATTTCTTGTGTGTTCTTTCTATGATGCCTTGAGCCTGAAGGTTATTGGGGATCCCAGGTAAGTGGTGTACAAGCCAATGATTGCAAACTGCTTGAAATGTCCTGCTAGTATAGGCTGTCCCATTGTCAGTTTTAATAGACATGGGAACATCCACACTTCCAAGACACTTCAGTAGATGGGAGATGACTTTTTTGGTGGTTTTTCCTATGGAGACTGTGCCATTACACAGCCTGAATAGGTATCAATAATTACAGGAATATATTTTTTTTCAAAAAGTGCATAAAGAGTGACATCCATTTGCCATAAGCACTAGTTTTTAACTCTTGGGAATTCACTCCAGCAGGTTGTAAAGGGTCAATGGGAAAAGGGGTGCACTTTTTTTCAGTCTCTGACTAGTTGTTTTCAAATCTCTTTAGTCATGCTTTTATGCAACTGCCATGGCTGAGGCCAGTAGAGAGGCTTGAGCTGCTTGTGTCCCTATATCCTGCATGGCCAAAATCCAGTCATTCAGTGTGCCATTTGTGCTGGTGCCACTGCTGCTCTATGTTCCTTATTTAATCGGTCTCTAATCAATTTCTCAGCTAGGGCCACTCTTGCTCCTTCATGAGACACCTTTCTTTCTACCACCTTGTTTACTCTCTCAATAAACTGTGGCACCTCCTCAGTGGCTTTCTGCCTTAAACCCTGTATAGAAACTGTCCCTCCCCCAGCTGGTAACTTCCTCCAGGCTCTCAGAGCACAGGGCTGCAACTGGTCAAAATATTTTGGTGGGCATATAGCCTGTACCACAAGGGAACTGTAGATTTCCTCTCCTTGCAAACATTCAGCTGGGAGGTTAACATTTGTGGTGTTGTTGCAATCCCCCTGCTGTTCTCATTCATCATAGAAGAATGCCTTCTGGTTCAAGAATGTTGCAGGCTCAAGAGCTGCTCTGGATAGATCTTTCCAGTCTTGAGGGAAATTAAGTTCAAGACTGAGTGCTTCAAACGTTTGCTTTGCAAACAGCCCCCAGGGCCCATCCTCTTTTATTGCCTTCTTTAACTCCTTTAGGGTACCCAATGCATGTGGATACCAAGTTGCAAGGTGCTGTGCTGTGGAGGCTGTGTTAACTAGGAAGACTTGTACTCCCTTACCCTGAATCTCATATCTTATCCTACATAGATCTTCAAAAGGATCTCTGGCTTCCTGGAATGGGTTTCTGGGAGACTATGGCTTGGACCTGTCTGGTGGCCCAGTCATTTCTAAGCTGTCATAGTCCCTTGCTGGCTTTAGTGTTGCTCATAAAGAGGCAATTGCCATTGACTCAGGAAAGGGTATAATCATTGCCTGTCAGTAGAAGGCATTCTTGCACCATTTGTGGTCACCTCTTCCTGCACCATGAAGGCTAGAGGTACCATTTCCTGCCTCTATCCCTCCTGCACCTGTTGTGGTTGCTTGCTTTGAAGTAGAGTCTCACCCCTGTTTTTTTCTCTCTTGCTTGTCTTTCACAGATTCATCTTTCCTCAGGGCCATCATTATATGACAAGGGTCTGTTGCAGGGCCCCCTAAACTTTGCTAAATGGCTGTCATAATAGAAAAAATATGTAGAGGTAAAGTATATCCCTGTCTCACTTCAGCTTGCTGCACATTTGCCATTATCTTGTCCCATATCCTAGGATCAAAAACATTAACAGTATTGATCCATGGGTTAGTGTTTATATCCCAGAAATTCTGGCTTCTCTCT